AAAAAGGAAAACAAAAATTAAAAAAAACGAATTGATTATATAGTGTAAAAGATATCCCTTTCTTTCTCATAAAAAAAAGAAAAAAGGAAAAGAAAAAAAGAAAAAAAAGAGAAAAATTATAATTTTCATCCATTCATCTAATCGATTTAAAGGATTTTATTGAGAATAATGAAAATGGAACAAAATAAAAGTCAAGGAATTTATAAATTCGTAAGTATATATATATATATTCTTTTAAGAAATATAATTCTTTTATATGAATATTAAATAGCTTCGAAGAAATAATACATCCAGTTATAGTGCTTCAAATCAACGTTTAAGTAATGATAATATAAAATGTAAGTCAATGGTATATTGTATTGTTGTGTACAATTCTATATGCATCCTGTGCTGATTGCTTTGATATAGCCTTATGTCATAAGGTTTTTAAGTAAAGATGGATAGTGACTAACAGTGGAATCTAGTTTGATGCGTGCTTCATCCTATTTGGGACTTGTCGGTTGGATGTTTTTGCATCCTAGAGTTCGTGTTCACTCTGGGACTCGAATTGAGTGCCGTTTGTTTGAAATGCCATTGTTCTTAGGATGAAACGCGCATCCTGGATTCCATTGCTAGCCACTATCCATCTTTATTTAATTTCTATTCAATTAATCAGATTTAGATTAAAAAACAAAATGGTATCATAAATTTATCGTTGCTATTAGTGATAATATTTTAATTCTTATTAGAAATTTAAGTTTTTGTAAATAGGTAGGTCGATTTCGGTTCATTTATATCAGAATATTTTGCTACTACATTGAGTATCAAAGTTACATTTTATGAATTGATGTGTAATCCATCTAATGATTTCAGTTGGATGCCGGTTCAGTGGTTTAGAGGTTAATCTCTCGAGCACGAGACTGATAGGTTCTGAGTTCTTATTTCACAAGGTGAGGTCGTGGATGCTCACTGCTGTAGAGTCCTACATTAGGACGAAACGGTCATCCAGTGCTTCCAGGTTTTCTATAGTGGTCTAGCTTCCATGGACTTATGAATTCGACTACTAGATCTTAGTTATCATTGAAATTATGAAACTTATCTAGGTTAAACCACCAGTGAAAACCTGGAGGCACCGGATAGTTATTTCGTCCTAGTATAAGACTTCTTAATGGTGGGCACTCACAACTCTATACGTGGGTGTCGAACCAAGAACTTTCAGTCTCGTACATGGGCGCTTAGCTCCTAGACTACTGAAGTTAAACATTAGCACCAGTGTATGCCGCTCCAATAGTCTACAAGTTGGGCGTTCACAAGTGAGACCGAAAGCCATGGGTTCGATTCCCGGCCACTAAAACAGAACGGTTACCCAATGATTGCAGTTTTCCAATGGTGATCTAGCTTATGTTGGTTGATGATTTTGTTGAAATTTGGCAATCACCACAACCTCGTAATGACAATTTTAATTATATTGATACAATAACTGAATTTTATCGTTCTGGTCTGGAAATTTGAATGTTTTGTTATTTGATTTTTTAGATAAATTATGTTTTTAAAATTCTTAAATTTTAATGAAGTAGCCATCTAAAATTTTCTGATTTATGTAATTGATGATTAGGGATTGAATTGAATATATCTTAGGGGCATTTACTTCCATAGAGGGGCGGCCAGACCAAAACATGGCACAAATCTATAAAGTCACTGCCAAGTGGACTGAGCCATGTTGGTAGGTGTAGACTACCTGGTTGAGATCCGCGAGTTGGAAGCAACTGATGGTTAGAGACTTCGAATGACATGTCTCAAAATCGTTTGCAATGGCGCAGGTGCATCCACTCTTTGTGTTCTCCCAAATTCTAATCTTCTGAATTCTTCGTATCCTTTATTTTCTTTCCAAATTTATTTCACTCGATTATACTCCTTGAGTAATATCTTCAAACCCTAATGTTTCCGATTACTACTTATACTCTTACAACCTCTAACACGATAGGATTTGAATCGACAACTGCATCTCTGTGCTAATGTGGTATGGCAAGTCGAGCTGATGTACGTACATACGTACGAAATTCTACGTTGTGACTGGCTAACTGACATATGACTGACTTCCGTATAGTAACACTAACTCTCATCTAATTAAAACGTTTTAAAATTTACAAATCATATTCTACATTTTAAATGAATTTAATTAGTGGTCAGATGAAGAGAATTTCACTTGTTATAACTTATTGACTTATCAAGTGTAGTATAATGAATGAGATCAAAATAAATCATAAATCAATAGAGGAGAACAAGTATTTAGGATCAAGTTGAATGTTACTGGAGTAAATAGGATTCAAAATTAGCATTACTATCATATTGATATATGAAACACGAACCTTCAACTAAATGTTTCGACCTAGTTTTTAATACATGAAACTTTGAAAAGATACATGAGTTCATATTCATAATGATTAAATAACCTAATTAGTGTATACTTTCACTTTATGATTTATTTATAAATTTTTAGATAACTGTTATCTAGTGAGATGATATATATCTCTAGTAGATATCAACCTTTATTAAAGGATAATAAGCATCTCTTATGATCTTAAGCTCAGTTAATTTGAAACTTACTGGAATTAGTTGAAGAACCAAAGAAATTTAATAATTACTAGACAACCACTTCGTTATAAGTTTCAGGCTTCTAGGTAACACAAGCTTAAAGATCTACCTGATGTTGAACCTAGGGCCTTCAGATATTAGCGTTAGTATGGTATCACTGACCAATAGGTCAAAATCCTATGTTCCGCATTATGTTGAGAGCTGCATGAATTAGGGATATAGAGTAATCAACTTATTGTCATACTGGTATTAACTGTCTCTACTCTAAGATTGGTTGATTTTAGACTTTGAGTTTCATCTCTTATAATGTCCTTGAATTTGGGCTTGTAAAGTATTCAGGGATTTCTGATGTTATATGGTTCTTTAAGCGATGATAGTTTGTCAGGGAAGTCATTTACTAATCCCCATTAATGTTTAATTTGTATTATCAGTGGAAATAGACTAGATAAACACTTTCATTAGTTCCTAGTTATTGTCATTTCATGTCAAATTATTTATAAAATACTGAGTAATATGAAATATTTCAATTGTATGATATAAACTTTGATGAGTTAGTAAGTATTTTATTTAGTTTATTTGATCACATAAATATTGGTACAAAGGGACACCGAATACATATGCGCGACATAAGTCATTCGATTTGTGTGAGGGCTGAGATATTGTCCGGCTGCCCGAACCGAAACAGGTAGTTTTCTTAGGGGGTCACATCCGGTGCCTTTGACCTAAAGGTCTAATCCACAATGGAGTGGAGCAACGTCAGGGAATGAAGTCCTATGGTAACCAGTGACCGATAATTGGTTCACACACCAGTTGTCGTCTCAGAACCTTGGAGCCCATGTGCACCATTGGTTTGGAATCAGCGTTTTCCAACTCCCATAGGTGGATGTTGTATATCCACCAACCCGGATAAAGTGCTGAACATTTGTTTTTCATTATCTCAATCTTGTAAACAACACCTCCACCCACATGAAGGCAGTGAACAGAACTTCTCTGACAATGAAATTAGTAAGTAACTAAATGTTATTCACAAATCACTCTAATGGAATAAATATTAAATTCTGTTTTATTTTTTTTTTGGAATGTTTACTAGTTGGACTGTTAATCAACATTGATTAACAAAAACTATCACTATATAATGTACTATTGTTATAACTATCATAAAAGCGTATTTATGAAGAAAAAAAAACAATTTCAAAATTTGATAATTGAATTCATGAATTAATTAAAGTTAGATCATCATGGAAAACCTGAAAGTATTGGATGGCCATTTCATTTGTAATTCGTACTACTCATCCACAATCCTATCCACAGGATTCGAACTCAATACTTCCAGATTTTCTATGATAATCTAACTTTCATTGACTCATGATCTCAATCCTTCTGACATATCTATATCTATATATATATTCGATAAACTATGGACAGATACCAAAAAAAATTCATGAGTCAGTTGAAGCTAGACCACCATTGAAAACCTGGAAGCACTAGACGGCCGTTTCGTCCTGGTATGGGACTCCCCAGCAGTGCGCATCCACGACCCCGCACCACGCGGGGCTGGAACCCAGGACCTACTGGCTTCGCGCGCGAGCACTTAACCACTGGACCACTGAGCCGGCATCCAACGGTGTTAATGTCTAACTTCAACCAATCCACTAAGTTACGCCACCGTACACCATTGTCTTCAATGAGTTGTTATCTCACAACAGACCGGTTGAACTCCACTGGTAACGGCTTCTCACTAGAACTCCCGGAGTTTTTCTTGAAGTCAGTCACTAATGAGCAGTTGATTATTATCAGAATGGGTTTTGTGGAGAGTTTTTTAGAAATTTCACAGGTTGAAATCATGAGTCAGTTGAAGCTAGACCACCATTGAAAACCTGGAAGCACTAGACGGCCGTTTCGTCCTGGTATGGGACTCCTCAGCAGTGCGTATCCACCTGTGAAATTTCTAAAAAAAAACTCTCCACAAAACCCATTCTGAAAAAAATTCATGTCAGTTTTGTCATTTCTCGTTTTGTACACACAAGTACATGAATAATATAATCAACATTCTATATAGTTTCTATCGAATATATACATATGTATAGATTATTCTAAATGTAAATTATTGTTATGCATAATTTTTCGATTTTGAAACATTTACATGATTCAAGGTGATCACTACTTTTAAAGAATCAGTCATGCTCATATTATTATCATGAAAAATATGGAAAAAAAACCAAAAAAAAAACAAAACAACCCCGATATCATTTCGTATCAAAAGTTGTTATGTCATATCATCAAACACACACACACACACAATAAATGTCATCTAGTATCTATGTGCTTATATACTTATATTTAGTGTGCATGTATGTATGTGTGTATATATATTTATATATATGTTTAAAATAACCCTGAACTTGTCAATGATATAAATTGAAATATATAGTAAGGTTACATATATAAATTGATAGTCACTAATAACAAATAAAGTTTTCATGTGTTTCTATTTGTGATTAACCAAAAACAAAAACTAAAACAAAACAAGAAAAAACCCGAAACGAAATGAAACAAACAAAACAAATAACCATGTACCTTCTACAAATGTGTATAAGTTTTATATAATCATGTACGAATAGTAGTATGAATGTTAATATATTCATTGAATTGTTATTATTATTATTATTATTATTACTATTACTATTTCATTGAATATTCAACCTAAACTAAAATCATTGAATATACTGGTTTTCTCTATTCAATTAATTGAATACAATTCATTTGAATCTCTTTTATAAGTGGATTATTTCACAATCTAATTCAATGTATCTTATATTAAATTAAATTAAAACAAAACAAAACAAAACATGCCTAAAACTTCAGTAAACACTAAAGAATCAAAATATTTTCCAAATTTTATTAAACGGAATAAAAGTGTTCATTTACAAAATCGTCATAATAGTAAGTATATTGTATTAATCTATAGTCATTTTGGGTCGGTTGGTTGGTTTGTGTTTAAGAATTAACGGAAAATTATTTTCAATTTATTATGAGAATAATATTGTTTTCTTGTGTAATAATTTTATAATCAAATAGGGGTCCTATTGTGGGACTATTTACGAGTGTGTATTCACGATATCACCTCTCGAGATTCCAACTGAAGATACATTGGTTTCGCGTGCCTATGTTTAACCTCTAGACCACTGAGCTGGCCCGCATCTAACCATGTTATTGTTTAACTTCAACTAATGCACGAAATTGAACAACACATACACCATTGTCACCAGTGAGTTACTATCACACAACAGACCCAGTTGAACTCCACTAGTCACTGCTTCTCATTAGAACTCCAGGAAAATACCTCTTGAAACCATACGATGATGATGATGATGATGATTATGAAAAGAGTGTTTTATAGATATTATAGTGCTTTTAATAGTTGAGATGATGAATCAATTGAAGCTAGATCACCATGGAAAACGTGAAAGCACTGGATGGCCGTTTCGTCGTAGTATGAGACTCCCCAGCAGTGCACTAATTATAATCATCATATATTCATTAGTGACTGGCTTCAAGAGGTTCTAGTGAGAAGCAGTGACCAGTAAAGTTAAACCGGATCTGTTGTGAGATAATAAGTCACTTAAGATAATGATGGATATGTCACTCGATTCTGTGGATTAGTTGAAGCTAGACATTAACATCGTCGGATGCCGGCCAGCTCAGTGATTTAAATGTTATGCGTCCGCGCTCAAGACTGATAGGCCTTGGGTTGAAATTTCGCGAGGCGGGTCGTGGATATACACTACTGTGGAGTCCCATACTAGGACGAAGCAGCCATCGAGTGCTTCCAGATTCTCCATGGTGATCTAGCTTCAACTGACTATTAAATTAATAATTTTGTGTTTTACCTATCTATGATACTGATCTTATTATGTAAAAAAGAGATAGATTTGGGAAAATTGTGACGTGTTTTGTAAAATTCCATAAGTTCAAAGTGTATGAAGGAAGTATTTTTGGAAATTGTTGAATTATATGATTTTTATCATGGAATGACCTTTATTAGACAATTACAGAAAATTAAAAGTCATTGAATAGTTGTTTTGTTTAAGTATAGGACTCATCAGTAGTAGTCATTCATGATCCCAATAAAAAGTGAACTCAATACCTTTATATTATCACTGTGTAAACTTAACCTTTAAACCATTGAGTCAGTATTCACTAGTTTATATGTCTAAACTTAGTTATTTCGCGGTATAGCAAAAATAATCTTCCAATACTATTAGTAGGTAAGTACCTCACATCTGACATGGTTGAATTCCATTGATCATGACTTCTCGTTAGAATCCCAGGACTCGGCTCTCAGGATTAGGCACTAATAAACGAGACCAGGTCTCATACTACAATGAGCTAACTGTCCAATGTTTTAAACTTTTCTATTTCAAAAGTTACATCAAATGATATCTTTTCGTTTTCTAACTATTGATTCATATCAATACTATATCAGAAACTACTGCAAGCTGAATAATAATGGACAGATATTTCTCGTTTTTAAGTGTTTATTATAAACTAATATAATCTATTGAATCATTGAAAACAAGAGTCTACTTACTGTATCGTGCTCATCAGTATACCTTGTCAATTTATTCTTTGATTGAATCTACTACTTTTGAGTATCATGTGACGTAATTCATATCTTAGTGACCAAATAAAGTCTTTCAAAAACCTCTTTTTTTAACTAGGTATTAATACCACAGTTGGACTTGATAGTTTCAAATACGTTGAGCATTAAGTTAAGAGTTAATAGTAATATTTTTGTTATACCCTAATGAGTACTATCTAAACTTGTGTTAATTTACTTACTTACTTACTGACGCCTATCACTCTCAGTGGAGAATAGACCGCCGACCAGCATTCTCCAACCCACTCTGTCGTCGGCCTTCCTTTCTAGTTCTATCCAATTTTCGTTCATTTTTCTCATGTCTGTCTTCATTTCTTGGTGTAATGTGTTCTTTGATCTTCTTCTCCTTTGGCCTTGAGAATTCCTTGTGAGGGCTTGTCTTTTGGCACAGTTGGGTGCTTTCCTCAATGTGTGTCCTATCCACTTCCAGTGCTTTTTCCTGATTTCTTCGTCCGCTGGGATCTGGTTTGTCCTCTCCCATAGTAGGTTGTTGCTGATTGTGTCTGGCCAAAAGATCCAAAATATTTTACATAAACGGATGTTAATTAACACTTGTATCTTCTGGTTGTTGGCTTTCGTAGTTCTCCAAGTTTCCGCCACACACAGTAGAAGTGTCTTGACATTTTTATTGAAAATTCTGATTTTGTTGTTGGTTGATAGACAGTTGCTTTAAGTTCCAGATGTTCTTAAGTTGTAAATATGCTGCTCTTGCTTTTCCGATCCTCACTTTCACACTTGTATCAGTTCCACCTTGTGTTAATTTAATATTCGGTTATTTATTTACTCTGAAGAAGTGACTTACATTAAGTCACGAAACATCATCAGAAATACAATCTTTTCTTAACTATTGAGTAAAACTTTGAAACTAATTTAATTCAAACGAATACAATTTATTCCATAATGTCTAGTAAATCATTTCAAAGTTAAAAGTGATAAGATTATTTTAAATAAGTAACTTATATTAAAGAGTAAAGAACTTTACATTGAACATTTTGACTTCTTGATTATTTGTTGAATTAGCTACTATGAGATAATATCATTAACAGATTTGTAATGAAGGGAACCATTATTTCGAAATTAAACAATACTTCCGGTATTGTTTACTATAAACTATAGGGATTAATATAGATTCAATTTCCCTACACGAATTTGTGTCAGACAAGATAACATAAGCGCTATGGATTTCACAGTTAATCACTACTAGATAATAATAATATGTTCTATGTTTGTGATAATTGATAGAAACTGCTACACTTAGGTTTTGTATCTCTTATCATGTAGAAATATATAGTTTCTCAAAAAAAGAAGCCATTGTTCATTCAAGTGGTTAGAGTATTCATCATATGATATCGTTATTGAAAGTGTTACTACTAGAATAATTGTGATGGAGCTAATATCTACTGAGTTAAGAGTATTCAAATTAGTTGCTGATTGGTTCAAGTATTCATTTCTATCGGTTAGTCGGTAAAATCCAGTTAACAGGTAGAGAGTTAAGTAGTATAACATTATTTACTCTTCAATAATTAATGGGTAGATTGTTATTACATTTGATTAAACTTATAGCAGATTATAAATGGGATTAATTGAAGATGTGGTTTAATGTATATGACAGATAATTTTCATTTCTTCTATTCATTTAATTTTTAAAATATTTTCAAAATGCATATATAAGTCAGGAAAAGTATATAAAACCTACTTTGTTACTGCCATATGGACTAAGTAGCTCTCAAGATTAACAGTATCTAAATTGAGTCACAATTGACTGAAAACCATTTGCGTTAACCAGCGGTTATAGTTACTAACACATTATGGGATCAACTCTCCAGACTACAGTCTACTTTCACAACTGATACTTACCTTTCAGTGTTCCTTTTATCTTATGGGTTGAAGCATGCGTTCTCGTGGCGGGAGTGTTGTTTACGAAATTGAGAGGACGAAAAGTGAATGTCCGGCGCTTTAACTGAGTTGGTGGATATGGAATATCCACATAAGAGAGTTGAAAAATCATGGTTCTAAGCCAATGGTGCACATGGGCTCCAGGATTATGTAGGAACAAATGACGTATAAACCAATTGTTGGTGACCGGCTACCATGGGACTATATCTCCTCACGATTTTCCACTGCCTTGTGGATCAGACCTTCAGGTCGAAGGCTCCGGGTGTGGTCCCCTAAGAAAACTACTTGCTTTGGTTTGGGCACTCGGTCAGTATCAGCCCTCACACATATCAAATGAGATCTGTGTGGTGCATATGTATTTGGTGCCTCCTTTTACCAATATCTATGTGTTAAAATAAATAAATAAATAAATGAGAATAATAGTGTACTGTGTATTGTTGACGAATATCGAGAAAAATAGGTAATATGAAAACTTATTTACCAATAATTACCTACATATATAGTTGGGTTAAAGTTAAAGTTTAAGTATTTCAACTAATAAACCACAGATCCACGAGAAGCTTAAATTTAATTACAGCTCTAATGATTTGGTATGAAATAATTACACAGTTTAAAGATTGTTTGTATTGACTAGTGTCATGTTTGTCTAGTCCTTAATGTTGAATAAATTCTATCCATCAAATTGCAGGGTTGTCACTTGTGTAAGTGTTTTGAATGTTAGGTGGTTGGAAGTAGTTAGAGAGTAACGCTAAGTAGCAAGTTTCACCTTCATTTTTAAAGGAATTGACTCTCCCTGTGTAACTCAAACTTGTGTGACCCAGCTTCACTAAATCTTTGGAATAGACAATACAACACCAAAGTATAGTGCACTCAATGTCAAGTTACTCAGATAATTTATCAAATCTCAACATGTTCGACAGAATTCAATAATTAATAGAAAACTAGACAAACACGATAGAGGTCACTAGTCAATAATTAATCAATTTACATATTTCAGTCCTATACTAGGTCAATAAAGGTTTGGTTAGTTCAGCGGTAACATCATTAGTTGTGACACTGGATAAAGCAGATTGAAGTGCCGTAGGGAATAGGAATTCTCTAAAGCTTGTTGGTATACCTTACTGGAGAATGCTTAACAATGAGAAACCTAGAATCAGGGTTTCCATTCGACCACTTCTAACTTAATAACATCAAGAGTTGTTCACATAATCCCTTACTTTGAAACTTCCCACTTGGTTGATAATAAATGGAATAGTAGGAAACTAACACTTAGTGTACTTAATTTAAGTTTAAAAATAAGTATAAGTTCTTATTCTTGGTCACTCAATGAAGTTAATTTATCACCTCGGTTGATGAAGTATTTCCACAGAGAATTTATGGAACATAA